GTGTTTATTGGCCAGAAAATGTCATTGACTGGCTAGGAAAATGGCGGCCAACATGCGTAATGCGACATGCGCGAGGACAGAAACTTCAAAGCTTCCGACGTAAGTGGCCCTTCTATATGGATCTTTATTCTATGGCTAAGATTTATTCCTACTTAATAATAATTATGAATATGTGTGCAGTTTAATGGAGTGAAATTCATCAACTTAAGTCCTAAAAGGGGTTCATTTTCAACTCTCAACGGTGAAAATATGCGATTCTGACAAACATTTTTTATCAGATTCGTATTTGCTCATTTTTTATCCATATGGCATGAAGAAGATATCATTCAACAGCTAAAAGCATGATCTTTCCGAATGTGAAAAAACTCGTTCATACGCAGAGTAATTCAGATACAATAGCGCGCTGAAGTTCGATTACCTTTTTTTGATACACTCTGTATTAAAAAAGGAGACCTTTAGATATTAAAATAGATTTTTTGCTCCTGGGAATTTAAAAAAGCTTCTAATAGCATATATGAGAATAACTATACCCAAAGTCGCGTTCGAGTAAAAATGTTTCAACTTATAACTGACCACAGAGTAACAAGTTTTTACTGTTTTATCCGCTGCGTTAATTAAATTAATCAGCACATAATCATATTTTGAACGAAACCAAAAATTTTTAAATAATCATGCATAAAATTCTATTCAATTGTATTTACGTACCCATCGCTTCAGTATACACAGGGTGTATCAAAAAAAGCGCAACCTCGGAATTTCCCAAGAAATCGACATTGTTTTAAAGACAAAAGATTTTAGAAGCCTGGGAATTTAAAATAGCATAACTGTCAAAATTACTGCACACGCGAGTGCATAAAGCAAAATTTATGCATTTATTTAATGCACAACAACAGTAATATGATCTATTAGCAATTCGATTTTAATTCCCAGGGGCCTAAAATCTTTTATGCTTAAGAATTGCAAAGTGATTCTTAGGAAATTCCGAGGTTGCGTTTTTTTTTATACACCCTGTACAGAGTGTATAAAAAAACCTGCAAACACTATAATTTGCATAATTCTGCTGCTTACTAGCATTTCAATGTCTGTGCTACTTAACATTTTGCTCCTGGGATTTGAAAATACATTCTAATTACCGCGTTGATAGAAATTAGAATTACACAAAGTTATTTGTAAAGCAGAAAACTAATTATCAGTTCGACTGCGAATGGGTCAACTATTGTGTTTACGCATGCTTGGGATCAATTAGTTCTGAATTATGCAAATTCTAAAAGCGTTGTATTTTAAATGTTTGCAGGTTTTTTGATACACCCTGCAGGACTTGGGCATTCAAATTACAACAACAAGTTGAATTTCTAAAGAGTAAAGGTCATTTCTTCTCCTTGTATTTGTCGCCAAGATGGTGTTCGTTTTATTGTTTAAATTCCCAAGAGATTGGTTGCAGTCCACCAATAAATCATTGCATAACTCACGAATATATGTCAAAACAAAAAGTGACTGTTGGCGTAGAGAACAGTGGGATTTTTGAAACAATGAAAAGGCAATTAGTAATTATGCAAAATACCATTTCGTTGCATAAACAACGTTTTCATTGACATTTGCATTTCTATAGTCATTACTCCAACTGCATTCTGTGTGTCAAGATATTCCTCCCTTGAATAAGTCTCCAGTTGATGACCTAATTGAAAATGGCAGTACAAGTATCCTTCCACAGTTATCGAAGAAAAAGATGTATACTGTAAATTGTCCGCCATCCCCGTTTCCAAATCACCTGGTCCTGATGGAATACCTAATTGGGTGCTTAAATCTTATGCATACGTTCTTTCTTCCCCTGTGGCATCGATTTTCAACGCTT